GGCCCCCGGCCGTGCCGGGCTGCGGGCAGGTGCACCTGGCAGGCAGGGCCAGCCACTTGGTGTGCGGCCACTGTCATGTACGCCATGGCAGGGCTTGGTATCAGCGAGGACAGAGGTAGTAGGAAACTATTTTGCAGTTGAGGACTGTTTTTCAAAGGGTTTTGAAGGCATCAGCACTCTTAGCAAAACGTGTTTCATAATTAAGGTCGCGCGGATGAAATTGCCTGCTATGTAAATATTTCGACACCTCTCTCCAGTCCGAGACGCTGGCCGCGGTGCATTTCCCGCGGTTCATGGAGCTCTTCAGCTGTCAGCGCGTTTTCCTGGGGGACCGAGAGCTCCAGGAGCGCCCAGCGCCTCGTTTGTTGCTGCCCTTCGAGAGGGATGTGAAGCTAGACATTCTTACACTGCCAGAGCGACCCTTCCAGAGGAAATCAAAGTAACGCACTAGTGGTTTTGTATTTCATCAAAGAACGTGTTTTCATGTTGGTTCTTGAGAACAAACGTCAAAATAAAACTCAGAGGTCCATAGCAGAAGTTACAAGTGGAGATTAAGAGAATTATCCACTTGTTGCTCCAAAGCTCTAAACAATTCCTATGGATGAGCGCGGGCACAGACATGGGGAAAGCTAAGCAAGTGAATAAAGGTCTATGAAGTATTGTAAAAGGATATGTATTGAATTGGTTTTGTGCAGCAGGCAGTCACAAGGATCTCTCGATTATCAGCACGAGTTACTGTCCTGTCTATAGATTCTGAGTGATGTGGTTTACAGACTAAGAATTTTATTTTATTTGTCATGCGTTCTATCTAGATGATGACGATGCAGTTAACTTTAAACCCTGGGTTTTTGTTTGTGTAGTAGCTCCTTTTTTATTGAGTCACCCTATGACGATGTAATAGGAGAGATGTAGTAGTGTAAATCGTATGTTTTCCTTGTAGTTCTGCTTTCCTCAGTTTATCAGACACTTATGTATTAAGGTTAAACAGTTGGCTCAAGTGTATTTTGTTCTAGGTAGAGTGCAGAGTACAAATATACGCACATTTTGTGTCTTAGGTTGAAAAAGTAAAAAATTATAGTACAGTACAATGTAGTTAGAATAAAGAGTTATAAGAAAACTATATAAGGCAAGAGGATTAAATAGTGTCTGTATTGGAAATACACTGCATTCATTGTATCACCACTTTTTAATGGGGCACTCTTAATCTCTTCAGTTTTAACCTCTTACTTTCAAGCAGAGTGAGGGATTGATTGAGAGCTGTGTAATCTTGCAGATCAGCACACTGGTTTCTGGAAATAGTCTTCAGATACAACACAGGCTTTACAGTACTGAAGTCTGAACCATGATCCTGACTCT